CGGTAGGAAAGAGGGAGCGACGAAATTGCTCTTCTTGAATTCTCGGTTGCGTGAATAAGGACCCATTGACCTTTATCAATTTCGCGCTTATTTGAACGCCGCGCAAGATCCCGTCGCGTGAATATCTGTGAAGATCGGCTTGAAGAAAAACCACCGATATACTACTATGTTTTCAGGCCCTAAAGTCCTCTCTTGATGGTGTACAATTACCTGTGTGGATGTGTAAACTCATCTGAAATATATAATAATCGAAGGAAAATTATTACATATTTCCTTGCAAATAACTATATTTTAAGATGTTTGACGCGCGAGAGATACAACCGCTGAGCGCAAATCGGGATTTTTGGCGCGAGCTGTAAATGAACTCGTTAAAGATAACGTTTTGATCATCCTCCGTTCGCCAATGAACACTTAATCTCTCGAAACTTTATGTAGATTTTTCAACGTGTAGATTGCTTGGCATTTGCATGGTTCTTTCCGTGCCGACGTCCCATGAATAACTCGTTTCACTCAAAGGCAGCAGTTAATTTGTCACGTAATAACTTACGCGTTCAGTCGAGAGAGCAGGAGAGCTTTCACTTGTTGAGTGTCCATCTACATTTATATCTCGGCTAGGAAAATACTGGGCCGTGAGAATCTTCCTAGCGATGAAAGTTTCTGGAAAGTTGCACTAAACACAACCGGGCGCGCCGTGCAGATATTTAACTTGAAAATGCTTCGCTCATTCTCTACTATGAACCGAACGAAAAAAAGGGGGGGGGGNGGGGGGGGGGGGGGATTTTAGAAAACTTCAGGAGAAAACTATCTAATTAATCATCCACTCACTTCTCCGCTTCTTTCGCGTCTAGGCGATAAACATAAACATTCTCATACGATATTGCGAAAGTTTCGCGAATTCCCGGCGACGTTCCTCTCCTACAACGCGGGTGTAAAAAAAGAACGTAAAGTTTATTTCTTGACTTATTTCTTAGTGCTTTCTCTCTCCCGCGCCGGTATGAGAATTCGAAGTATCGCTCGGAAATTTCATCGCTGCGTGTAAATGCTCATTTTTACGTGAGCATATTTGCTGTACGGATCAATGTGCTAACGGTGCTACGTTCGAAGATGCGTTCCATGCTCTAATTTTTGGAATGACCACATGGACGGTAGGCGCGCGTATACTTTCAACCAAGCGTGGGAATCGCATCGCACGCTGGCAGCCCGCATTATGCACGGATGTAGACACGTGCACACACACAAACACACAGTGTTATAGGCCGTCATGCACGGAATACGCATACAGATATCACACGCGCAACCAACCCTCGGTTTGTTTGCCGTTGATACATACAAGGCGACGTTGGCGACGTGTGGCGCGAGCCACACGGCGAAATGCTCATTTACGGAAAACTTTTCATCCGATACTCGCCTCTGGTTTATAATTTTAAGCTCTGTTTGCCTCGGAAATTTACTTACTGAAATCACGCGTCCTAGGAAGCGTACGTTTACGCGACCGTACACCGAAAATCGCCGAATTTTCAGGAAAGTGGCGCAAAACTAACGCACTAAAAACTGCACGACCACACTCGGCGTCGCGCTTAAAAATAAAAATTGTCGCTGCGCGAGTCGCCGGTGTATAGTCAGTCACAAAACGGCTGCAACACTTTTTCTCCGATGAATTTCGCAATGCATCTTGAAAAAATGAGAAAATGATCTCCTGAGAATGACTAAAAAAACGTATTCCCTTATTAGACACGGGATACGTTCCAAAATTTATAAGAAGCAAGTAATTACGTTAAACAACCGTCCCGATTTTCGCGGGACATTTTTGGCTCTCATTAGAGGCGTCTCGAAGGAACTAAACTGGACGCCATCTATCCCAATTGTTCACTTAACGAAAAATAAATAATATAAAATTTAATAATAAATTGTATTAAAATGAATTAATCCCCTTAATCTGCGGCCGTCGTCAATAGGCATCGGATAAGAAAAATCCTTACCGCGTACGAGTACCTAAAGGCATCCGACGTTCCCTTGAATAGTTTAGTTTCTATTTAATTAAGCAAATCTTAGTTTCTTTTATTGAAATTATTTAATTTTCTAAACACCTAATCACATATTTTGTGTGATGTTGATTGTTCTTTTAATTTTATTTCAAAAATTACCAATCCAAAAATTTACCAATCCAATTTTATATATAAACTAATGATTATTTATATTAAAACACAACAGAAAATTATGTTGATTGTTTGAACTTGGCGTAATAATGAATAAAGATTTTACTTACTTATCTACGTTCATTTAATTTACTTATGCTTGATTAAAAGCTCCGACTTTTTGGCCCGATTTTTCGATACCCCGTAATTAGCTGACGGTCAAGAGTTGACCGTCCTGTTGCAACCTTCATGTGACTGACCATACGTTCATCCGCGTTGTTTCATTGCGTTGCGTCGCCCCGAGAATCTCGGGCTGAGATTCGAAATCGATCACGGCGACCATAATTTAATCGCGATAATCGTGCGCCGCGGCCCGACATTAGAAGTAACGGGTCCCCTAATCCGCCGGGCTAAAATTTCATTCGAATTTACGCGTCTTTCCTCTTTTCCTCGCGGTCCCCGAGCTTATTTCGCGATATCTCGGAATATCACGTGCATATATATAACGGTCGACTAATCCACGGATAAAATTAGATGCGCCACGACGGGTGGGCCACGCGGGACACCGTCGAGTCGACGACGGAAGTTAACAAATTGGCGACACATGGGAAATCTTGATTTCTTCAGCGCTTACGGAGGTCCCTCTCTTTCTTCCGGGCGGCTACAGTTATTCTCCAGGAGGAACGCGTCTCGTCGTTTATTATAATAGCGTGGGCGCGACAATCGCTCGGGACGAGCCATTCGAGCCTTTGCGACTCGCCGTGACGACAATCGCGGCTTATTACGAGCGAACGGCGCTGTTCTTCCACCGACCGGACAAGGAGAGAATTTTTCGGATGAGAAAAGCGCGCTACCCTGTGGTCGAATAATGGAGTTGTTTTCGTGGGAGGGTGTATTACGTGAATACTTGTTAATTGCGATTTGTTGCCGCTTTTGGGGTTTACCGAGATCGATCGGATCGGCGAGATGTAGAGGGAGCTGCTCGGGGATAACGAGAGGAGGAAGAGGGAGAGTATTACGTTGAATCGATAATCGTTACATCGTGTAGAATCGCGCAAAACGATTAACGGCAGTTTTTTAATTGGATACATTTTCACGGAATTCGATGGAAAACGTTTCGTCCGTTTGAAACATGAGAGCACGCCAGGGAAATAAACGAGCCGCGGTTGTACCTACCCGCGATCTTCATTGCTCGGATTAATGCGGTGCGGGTGTTTCTCGGCAAATAAAAATGAAGCGCGCCGTTGTGTCCGTTGAATACGCGGTTACAAATTAATACACAGAGATGTGCGATTTATAAATCACCGGAGATGCCGGTTAATAAATTCGTGCAAGTTGCTTTAATCGTTATTGGATTATTTATTGTAATTTCTCCGCGCAACGCGTGCATACGTGTGTACTGTAATTGGTATCCGAGTGCTATGCTTTCAATATCAATTTCCATAAGAATAAAATCACGAACTGAACGACTGTTTTGCTAATTTCGTCGGTGAATCTTCCTCGAGTTCTCCGCGTAGTTAATGAGCTGACTTAGAATAAGGATCATTTCCAAGTCGACGATAGACCAATAGAGTCGTAACGATACGCGAGTCTTCACGCACCGAACCAAAAAGTGCTACCGTTCAAGTAATATTTACTCGATTCAAGTGAAAAATACTCCTCTAATATTCCTTGGCAAGTATTTATTAAAAGTAGAAATATATGATATGATATATTTCCTTTGTATAAATAGATATTTACTTGAGTTAATGTTGTTTGAAGGAAATTTCAATGCTCTTCCTAATGTTTTCGCTGCATATCAGGAAAAATTAGTGTCGTAGAATTTCAAAAATCTCACCCTAAACGTCATTATTTCCGAGCCGCAGCGTTAGGACACGTTTCGGAAGTTGGCAGACATTTCTCGTCCCGTTTACGCATCACCAAGTGCTAATTCGGCTTAATAGAGGAAAAATGGATCGCCATTAACGCGGATAATATAGCCGAACATCGAAGAAGGGTGCAATTCGTGTTAAAAACGTCGTGATGACTTTTCAGAACGACGCGTTGTCCGAAAAACGCACGCAACTTCCGTCGGTCTCGCGCGACAGTTCGCTGCTGAACGTGGTTAATAAAAACGCGAACGGAAGACAGGAATTGCTCCGCGTGTTCTCGCCAAAGTGCGTGCAAAGTTTAATATTTGCTCGTCGAAAGCGCAAGCGCGCGCACACTGCGATAATAACGCGCGGCGAAACGGTAACGCAATTACGCGGCATAGATTTACGCGGAAAGCGTTCCACGTCCGCGGAAATACAAATGGGACCCACAAAGCAGTATTAAATACCCGTCTCGTGTGCGCGTCTCTGACAAGCTTCTTTACGGATACCCTTTGAAACGTATTCGTCCGCCCGCCAACGCGCTCGCGCGGTGATCAAAACTGACGCAACGCTGATGCGAAACGTAATTTCATCTCGTTTGCCGCTTTCCCCGGAACACGCGTGTACGGTATGACAAATGTATGCTGACGAAAGAGAGACAGAGAGGGAGGATAAAAAAGAAGATAAAAAGAATCGTGTTCGCTCTGGGAAATTTCGAAAATCGCGCAAGTTGGAACTACCGTGAGAGAGAGAGAGAGAGAGAGCGCGTATCCATTGAACATTGGATTAGCGTTTTGGGCACAAATGCAGCGCAAGCAAAATCATAAACCAATAATGCGAGAATCTACGAAAACAGGAAATAATAGTGGAAAATAAATTGAATAAAGAAGAGACAAAAAAGCAAAAGAGGTGTAAAGGTTTTCGCGAAATTCAACGATTGGCTCGACGATATATGATTATCGTTGATGGATAGTCTCTGGGATTTCTAGTATTATTGTGCATGCGCACTCACTCTTTGAGGTACGCCCATCCTTGCGCGGCCGTGCCTGGGAGAGCCTTGGGTCTGTCCTTGTTTCTCTTTTCTGTGAGTTTTTAACCCTCGCAGGAGCCTCGAAAATGTCGTCTTCTTCTTGCTAGTATTTTGTCCTTGTTCTACAACAACAGAAAAAAAAGATGGTTAAAAATTATATTCGCCGCAATATTTCAGCATTATATAAATATAAAACGCAATAGAAAGTCGTTATCATAGGATAATATACAGTAAAAAATTTGTTGTATTAAAATCGGCCTTTGTTAACCCTTAGCTGACACACGTCAAAATAATAACGTATGCGCTATAGGGGGTATTTTGGACCCCAGCGAGAAAAAATGTGTATAATTGTTTTATTTATCAATATTGGGTCAAGCCTCGACTAATACTAGGTGACGCCACAGAACCAAATTTGGCGCGCAACTATGAAAAATTTGCGTTCAAAAACACTCTGGGGTACTTTTAACCCCGTGTGTCAGCTAAGGGTTAAAATTGCTGTGTTAATTGAATATGTTATGTTTATGTTACCTCGATATATTTTGTGTTGAGTCGATATGCAAAACATGTGTAAGTGTTAAAATAATACATTTTATATTTCAGTGTCGATTGCATATTGAGGATGCTGGTTTTGTGTTAATTTTTAACATTCCGAGCAGAAATGTGTGTAGCAGATTAGATTTCAAGACTAGTAGCTGGATAGTAATGACTAAATAAGTTTTTTTTAGCCAGTCACGTGACTAGCTAAATAATCAATTTGTCCAGTCATTAGATAGAAAATAGGGTAATAGATAGGTCCTCTTTTTTAAAGTATACATGTGTTAAATTTAACAGCAAATTTTTGACTATCACAATTTTCTCGATCATTACGCGTGATATTTGTTCATCGATCTGCTCGTATCATTTTCACACGTCGTCGTCTTTAAAAATTTCGCATCAATTTTAGAAGGAGTAATTTGTCGATTTTATTCCGAATATTCATGTTTTCGTATCACTCACGGACTCGTAGGAAGCGATTCCGAAACGATTCGAAAGATCTTTTACGCATCGATTGTTCCAAAAGCGTTTCATCGCGGCATAAATTCTGCAGGAACAGAGCAGAGAAGGAGCAAGAGGAGGGAGGAGGCACACGCGAAGGCTCCGATTTGATCCTCTGTGAACAGCAAGCGAGAGCGATTTTAAGCCCCGGCATAAATTGTATTTCCACCGGCCGACGCGCGCAAACCGTTTATTAATAAGCGACCAGACGATGAGAGTCGAATCGTTACCTGCCATAAACGCATTCTCGCGAGCGTTAAACTTTCCAAGACGATTATCGCTATTCGGCTAGTGCGCGCTTTAATTATAATTCTTTAACGGCGACACGCTCCAGCTGTCGCGAATTAAATCGGATCAGCGCGGGCTTTAGTTGCGCCATTTAACGGCCGGTGCGTGAGACCTTTCCGAAATCCCCAATTTGAGCCACGAACTACTACCAATCTCGCAAATAATCGAATGAATCGGGGTTGCCCGCAACATCGTTATTCATTAACGGATAATTCAGGTATGCCGTTAGTTATCCGGTCGGGCCCTGACGCACAACGACGGTATATTGTGTTAGTGTCAACGCATCCGTTTATTAGCACTGACACAGCGCTACCTAATTAGCCGCCTTTACGACGTGGGCGTTAGCTGAAACGAATTATCGAGCTTCCGGCCCGGTCATCGTCAGAGTCTCGTGAAAATCCGTCGGCCGACATAATGAACGGAGCAGGTATTAATGGAAATTTTAGACGTTCCGCCGAGTGTTTCCGATATCCACCACAATGAGAAAATATTCTCGAAAAATGAATCAGTGATAATCAATTTCTGATTTATCCTAGTTTAATCAGCTTGTGATTAAATCACTAAAACATATTTCACTGATATCAGTGAGTACTCAAATGATTTTCAGTGAAAATACTTCCACTTAGCTTCTCCTACACGGAGAAAAATCATTTAAGAGAATAATAAATTAACACAAAATTAATATCCATAATATGTTAATCGACACTGAAGTATAAAATGAATTTAACACTTTTACATATGTTGAATATTGATTCAACGAAAAATATTGACATAAACACGATATGTTAAATTAACGAGCGTTATATCAAAAATTTAATGTAAAACGCTTTTATTGTGTAAGTACTGTTCACAATTTTAGGAGTTGAAGTCATTTTATGAAGAAAAGTTCATTGAACACTAAGTTCGTTTCCTCAAAAATTGAACGTTGCTTAAGAAACATTTATTTACTACGATAGCACAAAATTTGCCGAATTTCCTGATTTTTTTTTCCATGTATAGTCTTACACCTGGCTAATATTGGCCAGTGAAATTAGGATTTCATTGTGTTGTGCAAAATCTGTAATATTTCCCTGGACATTAACTGAATTCTTTTAGCGAGATTTTGTCGATTATAGTGCTTATTATTGAGTTCACTGTTTTTCAATGACAATACATTGATTACACTTTTGAGAGTAAAGGACGTATTATCCGATCGTATTGCCTTGATTATTTTCCGGTTTCACACGACCGGTTTCAGGGCCGGTATTATATTCCTCTTCTCTTTTTTCCCTCATCGCGAACAAACGTCTGATAAATTTCGCTCGATGTTTTTCCGGGCGCGACCTCATTTGAATCGAAAGATAAACGGCGAGAAACATTTTGCGGGGAAAGCGATAAAAGATATTAACGTCGTTGAGATCGTTATGCCGTGCCGCGCGCAATTATTACGGCGGTGTCGTTAGTCGCGCAATGTTCCGATAACGTTACAAAATGGAGCTAATGCGACAAACTGAATTTTCCACGCCGAAGTGTTTACGCCGTCGACGGAGGGTTGGTTGCGACATCCAAGTCGACAGTAACTGGCGATATCGTGATTTAATCAAGGACTATCGTGAATTAATGCCGCGCTATATCGATTTCGGGTGTAGCGACGCGTTAGGGCAGTGTAACGTGTTAATTAGGGGAGAGAGAGAGAGAGAGAGAGAGGCGCTATTATGCATGCGCGTATTTACGTAGAAAATTATTCGCGCGAGGAGGGAAACGAATTAACGTGGCCGCGCAATTATTACGTTTTGCCGCGTCGCGTCGCTGTTTCAGCAATAATGACACAGCCGCGGGAACCGCGACAAACATTAAACGAGACTTTAACTTCTTCAAATTGGCCATCGCGAACTTGTTAAGTCGGACACGTCGCGCGCTATGTTTATTCGCGCCGAGGCGCGATGTTAATCGTAATACTTCGTTCTACATACTACTATGTTACACAGATTACGCTGAAACTCGCGCTCTTTCACTAATTTAACACTGACGATCGCTATCACATATGAGTTCGAGGAACAATTACCTCGAGTATCTCCGAAATGTAAGAGTGGGAAGAAAATTTATCCAATTGACGTTGCACTGACAACAATGAGTATCGCTTCTGTAAACTTTTCTCAAGGAGAGAGTTCTCTTTACATATCTGAGATATTATTTATTTTCTATTTTTCTTACTAATCCTTTATTTATATATCAGTTGAGATAATAGAGAAGTGCACATAATAGAAAGTGATATATATATATATATATGTATATGTATATATATATATATATATATATTGTACTATAAATTCCTATATCTTCAAAACAAAATAGTAAAAAATTCTGAAATTGTTGATGTCTTTATATTAGTCTTTAATATCGCAGTAGCATTTTCATAAAAATCCTACATTAGGAGAAATTAAAAACAGAATTTCAAAGATCGTGTAAAAAGTGTCATCTTCGAATATCTTAGCCTTCAAATGGTTTTCGTAACTTTACAGATGTATTTCTATCAATATGCAGGTAAAATTGAAAAGGATTCCTGAGAAAATGGTTTGTCGGATCAATTACAAGGCAGGTTTTTCCTAACTCAATCAAAGTGCGATAAACTTCTCTGGCGATTAACACGAGAACAAAGCAACTCTTTCCGACGCGTTAAGAATCAATCGGCTGCCACCCTCGCGAGAATGGATTCTCGGCTCCGCCGTAATTACTCAGGCTCGCAATTAAGACAAGTTACAAGGGCGGCGCATCCGTATGTGGATCAGCAGCATTCGTCTTCTTGCTCTTTCTTCTCGACAAAGGGAATTCCGCGGGCTAATTTCTGAAATCGAACCAGCTGCTGCAACCAGCCGCGCGCGAGAAAGCGGGGGTGGTACACCCATGAATCCCCCGGAAGCCACTATTATTCTAGAAAGGATCGTACGTATTTTACCGCGGCGAGAGCGGGGAGAACGAGCGATATGGGCAAAGAATACAAGAGACTCGCGGGACCACGAGAGTTGGAATGTCGTCCCGTAATATCGGAAATATATCGCCGGGGCTGTAACCACAAGTCATGTTCAATCGAATGAATCGTATGGAATAAAAATAAACCTGCCTACTGTGGAGACGGAAGGTCCAATACCCTCGGCGAGGAAGCGCGCGGCGGAGGAAGGAATTCGAGGAAAAGGAAGAGAAGCCGGGTCGCCAGCGGAGAAGAGAGAGAGCACGGGTGAAACTCGAGGGGGATCGAACAAATGTTCCGGCGGCACATGCATCAAATCCTGAAGTTGCGTGAGAGATGGAGTCCCTGCTTGCTCAGCGGCGAGCCGCGATAAAACGGCCGAGCCGAGTTCGCCCTCTTCATCGTCGTCGTCGGCGAAACCAAGTTCGAGCGGCACTTAGGCGCGAGGGACAAAAAGCTCCTAATATACTCCTCCCCTTCACTTTCTATCTCCCACACCTTTGAATTAAAATCACCAAACACTTCGCTTGGTAGTAGGTTTTGCGTCGCTAGTGGTGATCGGTTAAGCGATCAACGTCGACGTTTTCACGCGCATCTGTCTTGTCGACGTCGATAGCCGAGCACCGTCGGGGAAGTTCGCCGGTAACAGCTGACAGGCTGCGCGGGAGATTGAGACACGAAGAAACCGTAGGGAGAGGTAATCCGAAAAGAATAGGGGATACGCGCGAGAAGTTGCGAGAATTTTTGCCGCGAACGTTGCCATACTAGCTCCTACTAAAGACCGCTTTCAATTACCTTTTTCTCGCGATCTCTCGGTAGCACCTGTAGTTGGCTGTTCGAGTTTATGTCGGG